AGGGGTTTAGGATTTAGGGTTTCTTGTTCAAGTCGTGTACCGGCAAGGCAAGGAGAATCTACAATGAGGCTGCCTCTCTTTGACAAGACCTGGATCATGGGGGATAATGGAAAAGAAAATNNTATATTGGGGTTATATAGGGGGAGTGAGCCCCGTGCTGAGAACACCCCAGTTCCCTCACTTCTGTCAAGCAAGGGACAACTCTTTGGTCATAGAGGTACGTTGCCACAGGAACCTGTAGCTCCCGCATGTCCACTCCAACGGAAGACCTGCCACAAGAAACAAATATCACTATTATTGCTGATAATATTACTTTCAATATCATTACTAGTATTAGTGCTATGATTAATAATAACATTATAATAAACAATATTCGTAATATTATTAGTATTATTACTATTACATCCTGATTGCGCAAGCTGCTTTTGGAGGCCCTGAGGTGCGGGCTCCGGGCAAACTGCCACAACCGCACCCTCGACCAAATCCGGAAGAGGTCGGCCATGCGGCACGCCATGGACCTCAGATCTCAGCTGGTTATTTAGGGATAATGCAAAAGAAAACGGAAACTACAGACATCATAAGGGTTATATAAAGGGTTATACCAGAGGCTATACAGGGATTATGGGGTATAGAAAGGGATTATATAGGGATAATGGAAAATGAAATGGAAACTACTATAATGGGTTACATAGGGATTATAAGGTTATATTGGGGTCTTATAGGGATTATGGAAAAACATGGAAGCTCCTCTATTATAATGGGGTATATAGTATATAGTAGGGTTATAGTAGAGAAAGAGGGCAGGGAGATGAAGGAGGGCCCATGTATGCTGCTCCAAGTCTTGCACTCTAATCTCCAATCCATGGGATATGCCGCCAGCTAGCCCATCAAGAACCTGCAGGGCCAAAAGTGGATATCTCCATGGCTGTGCAAATTCTCAGCTACCAGCTGAAGCTGCAGCAAGAAGGTGCTCTCAAAGTCTCTGAGTTCCTCTGAACACAGCTTTCGGCCTCGTGTCCTGGCTCCCGTGTCAGCGAAACCTAGAGGCATTGAGCATGGCTACAACGTGCTACATCAGAGCCATGGACTTCTGCATGTAGATTGCATGGCATGTCCAGGCTCTTCAGAAACGACAACATGTGATGTGTGTTTGGGCGCATGGAGCCTGCAAGCAACAAGGAAAGTAAGGAAGAGAGTCACCAGCCACGATGTTTGGTGACATCACTGCGAAGAGCCCGGGATGAGGCCACAACAATTCCTTCCGAGTGGTTACAACCTCTTAAATGCTGACCTTGACCATCATGTGGTGCCTTTTCAATTGAGCTGACTGAAGCAAGTCAAAGCAGAAGTTGTGAGTTGTCTCTTGGTGCCCACGCCAGGAGCCCAGGACGCGGTCGCGAGGCGCTGGCACTGGTCCCAGAAGCCCTGCGTGAAGCGAGAGTCTGCGCCATGCTCCGCATGCTTTACCTTTGCGTCATGCACCACGCCTGGCGTGAAGGTGAAGTGGTGAGAGGTAGGGCAAGGATGTTGGTGACCTCATTTGCCGATCGACAGCGCTCTGTGCTCACTGGAATACGGTTGAACGCTCCGGGGTGCAGGCCATTGGAGGCTCAACCTCAGTGATCCCCATTCGTCAACACTCTATGAGATTTCGCAGGATTCTCATGTACTCCCATGCTCGTCATCCTTGACCAGCCTGGCCGGCTGTCAGCTGAGAAAGGTGCAGGGAGTCGGTCATGGCACCTTCAGGCGTTGCCGAAACCTCAGAAAATCAAACAGATTTATTAATATAATGTAGCAGTTTCCAGTTTCCCTAAATAGTCCCTACATGATATATCTAATATGTTTCCTCATTCCCTTGACAAAGATAGCTGGTCGGTCTGCAAGGGTGAAACGTAATTATGCAGGAGGGTCCTTTGGCGCGCTTGACGCAGAGTCAGTCCACTTGCTGGGGGTAGTAGAGAATAAGGGAATAGATTATATGAGGACTATATGAATTCCTGTATTACTATAACTATACTACTATGGATTGTGTCAGTCCAGGTGGAAGGACAACTGCGCTCAAGCCCGTACCATCTCCACCGCAAGCCCGATCTGTGGCCTGGCCACACGTCCATGAGATTAGGGGTCCCTTCAGAGGGGTTGTATCGGGGCTTTAGAAGGGGTGATATAGGGGTTGCATAGGGTCGAGGGTTTCTCTAAATTAGGGATCCCTTGTTGGAAGTCCCCAAAATAAGGATTATACTCAGAATATTGAGGGGGTCCATATATGGAAGCTACCACATATCTGGGAGGCCATGTAAGTAGTGCCAGCTATACCCAGATGCATCTGATGATGCGGACAGCGGCAGGACAATCTCTTGATTGAACCAAACCTGCGCTGCACTGCCAAAATGAAGCCCTTCCAACGCTGGCTGCGCTGTGCTGTGCGACTAGACCCGGTCTCATGGGCTCAACGCAACATGGCTGCATCCAGCTCGTGTAAGCTTTCGGAGTACACGTCCAAGATGCCAGGCATACGCTCTCCGGCCGCCTCGCCCGTGCTTGCGGTCACCGGCTCCACCGGAAGGCTGCGGGAGGCCTGGGATAAAACGCGCAGGTCCAAGCCGGAGCCACGTCAGACCTTGGAGGCTGACCAATTCTTGAAGGACGTAGCCGCCAGGCTGAAGAAGCCTCGCAGGTTGGATTTTCATATTGCGATCTTTGCACGGAGGCAGTTTCAACTTGGAGGAGACACAGCCTCGCCGCCACTCGGATCAGCGCCTTTGCGCTGGCTTCAGGAACCTTGAGGACCAGACAATCATCCACATTATAGTATATTGGGGTTATATAGGGGATAATGGAAAATCAAATGGAAACTACTATAATGGATTAGAAAGGGATTATAGGGATATATTGGGGTTATATAGGGGCTAATGGAAAATGAAATGGAAACTACTACAATGGGCTATATTGGGATTATGGTTACAGGGTATATATTAGGGCTTTTGGGGGTATATGAGCCATAGTCGAAGCTCCCAGTATCCCCTTAATCACCCCTAAGTCCAAAAGCGGCAGCAGCTTTGTGTTCCCATAAGCGACCGTATGATTCAGAACAAGCGAAGCGAGATCGCAAGCAAGCAAAACAATGCAGTGTCAAAGCATACTTAACTCATCTGCTAATCAGTAATTGCTACCCAGACTGCAACTTAATCCCATATATAACCCCTTTAAGGAGTTTAGACTGTCGCTCACATATTATCTGGCATCTGCATGTATCCTCAAGAATCCCCGAGCTGAGTACGGGGAGCCCGTCGACTCGATGCACTAGCACATGGAGACGATGCTCGAACTGCCTTTTGCAAGCGAAACACTTACAGGTTGGTAGTAGGGAATGAAGCAATCTATCTACGTAGGGATGACGTGGGGATCATATTCCTTCGTTCCCTGCCAAGAACCAGTAAGTACATCAAGGGCAAGAATCAAACATAGGAGTTGTCTTCCATGTCGGCCTCATCTGCCAGAGCGTCTTGTCCAAGGAAGGCGCCACACCCGATGCAACTGTATGCGGGTGGTCCAGCCTCAAGCATCGTTGAGCAAACTCTGAAACATCAAGCTTAGGCTGAGTCAGAAACCCAGCGATAGGCGCTTCGGAGCTCAAGCATTTGACCTGACTGGCAGTGTTTCACAGCCTAACTTCAGCTCCTTTCAGTTTCAGAGCATGGAGATTCAAGGGGGCAATGGGCTAGGCTTCTGCAGGCATCAAACCTACATGGTAGCAAAGGAAATCATCAGGAAGTTGGCCTGCATGACAATGGTTGCGCGACCAACCACCAAGTGCTTTCCTGTCAACAGAGGACATGTGTGAGTACTTGCCACATGCGTTGTGCATGTTTGGCATTGCATGAGCATTGGGCCTTCTCCGCCCTCTGTCACACGAGTGAAGCTCACCTTTCTTGTTGCATCTTGTTGCCATGATTTTTCGTGTGACATCTGGCAAATCAGCCCAACTTTCGAACACATGGGACTTACAACGCCGAGACACAGTGCGCATAAGGCGCTTTGATGTAGTAGCACTTTCTGAAACCTGCAATGCGGGGGCAAACCCGTCAAAGGCCGTTGGGGAATGGTGTGGAATCACCGCGAAACCTACAGCAGATGACAGCAGAGCTTCCTGTTTTGGATGTCTGCGGAACTTCGGATGCTTGGACGCTCCATGCGCACCCTTCCATGCAGGCTTGTGCTGCCAGCTTCTTGCAGAGCCCTTCGTCATCTGCTCCGCTAGCTAGAGCACCCTGCAGGTCTTTATCTCCAAGCCCACGCGACAATCTCCGTCACATTCTTGCGGCTGCTTGCGCGATGTAGTGCTGCTGCAGCTTCGGTGGGATCTCGGAGTGAAGTGGGAGGGGAGCAGCCGCAAGGTAGGCAGCCTTTAACGCTTTCCTGGCCACAGGACGAGGATGCTGAGCAAGACAAGGAACTCCCTCACACGAGTCACAAAATTACTCTATGTTTCTATTATTATTATTACATTCTCATTACTATTTCATATTCCTGTTTTCTGAATATAGTAATATTAAGCATAACTTCCACAGGCCGGCAGCGCGTCGACCCTTCGATCGAGATCGCGAACGCCTGGGCCAAAAGATGACGCAAAGGTTTACAAAGCATGCGTGATTGCCAACGCTTCAAGCTGTCCATGCCGCAAGCCTGAGGTAACAGCTGAAGGTCCCACTGATGACCACAATCACATACAAGCAGACTGCATTTACATCATTTGATGGCATCGCAAGCTTCAATTTTCTTTGTGTGAGTGCTCGAAACCTGTTGCGCCAAGCCCGAATCCAATCTACACATGGTCCACAATTCCAGAGGTCTACATCTTAAAAAACATTGCTGGCCTCACAACCTATCTTGGCGGCAAATCCTACTGTCCGGTTATCCTACGTAACATGGGGTGTTCCGTGCAAAGTACGGATCCTACGATCGTCCTGATTTCAGGGACTCCCAAGAAGGGGTCTCTAACATGTGGAAACCCCACACAGAACTCTTGAAGTCCCAAACCCTGAGTAGTAGCTTCAATTTGAGGAATAGGTTTAGAGATAAGGGTGTCTGGGGCTTTATGGGGGTTAAATAGAAATTGTATATGGGATGTATAGGTTTCGGGGTTTCCCAAAAGTAGGGGTCCCTTTTGGGAAGTGCCTAGAATAAGGACTATAATGTATTGGGATATATGAGGGGTTCCCCTATCTGTGGAAACTCCCACAAATG